ACAGACAGACAGACAGACAGACAGACAGATAGATAGATAGATAGATAGATAGATAGATAGATAGATAGATAGATAGATCTAGACGTATTGTCCGGTGCATTTGTCTATTACCGGTGTACCATATCTTTCTTTAGTGAAGGTATTTACAATAAGTAAAATTCACGTGCGCCATTCACAGAGGAACAACTCAATTGGTACTGTAAAGTAGAAATTTTTTAGAACACAAAAACAACAACAACAAAAACCTCGATATCTTAACCTTCAGTTTCTGCTGCTACAAAATCGTAAAGAATACCAGGCCCATTGTCATTCTCACAAATTCAAGCAATTTTCTTGCGGTCATGCGCTCCGACCACAAGTGCTCTCCGAAAATAGCTCTTTGCTAAGTTCCCATCTCAAAGGTCAGTGATCCAGATCCCGCTAAGATTTTGTTATAGTACTACAGTTTGCCATCTTTCTGTTTTGATGCTCATAGTTATTGTGCGTCTACGTATTTTGTTTGCGGTGTGTGATCTTGTATTAATTGTGTGTATTAGCGTGAATAATCGTGCAGTGTGAAGTATTGTGAAGTCCGTGCGTGCGTTTCTTTTATACTAAAACAAAAAAAATCCATCTTTTTAACTGGAAAGGTTGTTTTAACTCTTTCAAGTTGTAGTCCTGTTCCCGGATTTGTTGCTGCGTGCGCAAATTTAGTTTGAAATATTATGTAAACGTTAGCATTTTCAGCTTAATAAAGATGGGTTTCAAGCTCCAAGCCTGCTTTACACATTAAAACATTCAGAAATTGATAAAGCTATAGTATGAAGATACAGTTTTATGCATGTAGTTCAGGCAAGCAGATATTTATGATGTATGAGGTATACAAGACAGAAAATAATGCAGCATCTTTCAGCACATGTGCCGACTTTCAAGAGTTAACGTCACTTTGTTAAGTGGATCTGGGGGGGGGGGATCTATTAATATAGAAGACATAGGTCTAGTTGATAAATTTTGATCTGTATCGCTCTATGAAGCTCACCATACTATCGGGATGAATTATTATTATTTTCGCCACCAAACGCCAAAAGCCTGAGACCACCCATACCTTAACTAGAAAGGGTCTCATAGACTCGCCAAAACGTTTAGCAAGTTTAAAATGAAACCATTCCACCTCCAACAGGAAACTGAAAAGGGTGGAGTATTTTGACTCTGAACTTATAGTTTGTCCAAGGACGAATCCTTGTTTGATCCACATGTAAGGAAGGAAGGCCGGGTTTTTTTTTTCGGAGGAACGAGGGTGTCGTCTGTTCATTGACGGGAAATCACTTTCTAGGTTACACACAACAATTTACGTTTGGTGTAAAAGCATTATAATAGGAGATATAATTTTCTCGCACAGCGAGTAGTGTTTTTATTTGACAATTCATTTGATCTTCAGACATGGATGTTGATGTTAGCATTGCTCGAGCATTGGCGTTTGGGTCCACTGTTGTTTTGTTTTGTTTTTGTTGGTATTTTTAGGGGGAGGGTGGTTGGGTTTTCTATTTATTGGTTGGTTAGTTTGTTCGTTTGGTTTTTTGTTTGTTTGCTGGTTTGTTTGTTTTGTTTGCTTGTTTGTTTGTGTGTTTGTTTGTTGTTGTGTGTTGTTGTTTTTGTTGTGTGTGTTGTTGTTGTTGTTTGGGGGGGGGGCATTTGTTTGCTTGTTTGTTGTTTGTTTCAGAAAAGAGAAGCTCATAGACACAATAGTTGTCATAATTTAGCGTCGGGAGAAAGTAAGACGGCAGACAGAAACAAGAGATAACACGTTAAGATATAAGGCCTTCCAGTCGCCCCCTCCGACATTTACCCACCGAGGGAAAGAAGGGGTAATTATAGTGATTATCACCAAATGTAGGTCGGCTCAAATTAGTTTTATTTATTTATTTCATTTATTTTAGCATTCAACAAATTCAAAACAAGTGAAGTCACAAAATGCTATCAATAATCAACATGTGAGTGTGTACTCCACACATTAAATCCAGCACAGAAGTTATTATTAACTGTAAAGGGACTCTGTGTCGTGGGCAACACGTAGATAACTTTAAGATTGGCAAGCATTTCGAGCGGGTGATTGGAGGTACTACTGGTAGGTCCTACTTCTTTACTTTCCCTCTGTTGTTTCTGTCTGCCCTGCATTTTCCCAGCCCTAAATGGCCTATATTGTGCCGATGGGCTTTCCTTCACTTAAACAAACAAACAAACGAAACATTTTGAATGTTGCTTGCCGCTAGATATCATAATTTAATTAGTTGCATTATCCATGATTTTACTAAAACCATTCTCACAACACCGAATCACCGTTCTTCTGTTTGTTCAAACGTTTCTTTCCCCCCGCTTAAAAGCAAAAGTTTTTTTGGATTTTTTCCCTCTCCTTTTGTGTGCTCGCGAGTTCTTTCTCGTCAATTCTCTCCGAATTTGTTGAACAGTCACCACAAGAGCGAGAGAGAGTCAGTTCTGAGAGAGAGAGAGAGAGAGAGAGAGAGAGAGAGAGCCCCAGTGGCAGTGTTGATGAGCCCTCCAGACGGCGGGGAGAGAGAGAGTGTGAGTGATGAGTGGGGTTGAGTAAACATTAGCGGTGTGGATACAAACTGCACGCCCTCTGGGCCACACCCGATCTCGAGTCACAGGGGGGTGGGGGGGAGACAGGGGAAAGTGGTGAAGGTGGGTGGGTGAGGAGAAACAGAAA